TTTTTTTTTCTTTAAACCAGGGATTGAACTCAGGCCCTTGTGCTTACCAGGCAAGCGCTTATTCTACTGAGCTATCTCCCTGGCCCCTTATTTAATATTTGACGCTTTTGTTGCAAAACCTTTGTCCAGAGACAGGTTGGTTGTTGAGTACACGGCACAAGCTTGAGCTTGTTACTGTGACCCCGAACTGTTTCCAGCCAGAAAACAGTTGGTTTGGTTCTTGTCATTTTTGGTACTTGTGCCTCCCAGACCTAGTTAACAATCAGTTCCAAGTACCATACTACAATTTGCAAAGTTGTTATTTAATCTCACATAGTACAGCTGAAAGAGTAACACTAATTAACATCATTTGTGGGGCTGGGGAGATGGCTCAGTGGAATAAGTGCTTCTCTGGCGATCGCAAGGGCCTGAGTTCAATCCCCAGTTCCACCAAAAAACCCCCCCAAAAAACATCATTTGGGCTTTCTGTTCTGTTTAAAATGTCATTTGTTAGACAAGCATTTATATAACATGTTATTTACTTGTTTGAAGCTATTAATTTTTCATCATGGTGTTTTATAAATGTATTCATGAGACCAGGTTGCTTTGTACTCAGATGGTATTTCAAATGAATTGTATTTTACAACCATTTCACGGTCTAGAAAAAGCAAAGTGGGAGATCTGATTAAATTTATCTGAACTGACACTTGTTTGGACTGTAAAGTAAAATTCTGCTACTTGTTTTTTGAAGCACTTTTTCTAATTAAAGTGTTGGCAGGTGCTTGTGCAACTTCTTTCTAGAACTTTCTTGCTGCGAGCAGGCTGTCCTTGACGCTGGATCTTGGCCTTTGCTCAGCAAGGCTGAGTTGGTCAGTGGTTTCCAGAGATTCTCTTTGTGCTCTCTGTTCCCTTCGTGTACAGTGAGGCGCTCATTAGCGTTTTCCCTCACTGTGCTGTGAGACAGAGCTGCAGACCTATAGTGCAGCGTCACACTGAAGCCAGTAGGCTGGCTTTGGTACTGGTGTTTAAACTTGGACTCAGCCAACCCAGCTCCGCCTGCCGAGGCAGGACTCAGAGCGTGTTAAGTGCTGCAGAATCTCTAGCAGGCCCTGGCCACCGGGCTCTCAGACCTTCTTGCCGCCTCCAGGGGACACTGGCCACAGAAAAGAAGAAGCCACCCAGGGAGGAGTGCAGCTTGAGTCCCTTCGAGGAATTGGCGCCAGCTCCTTCCTTCTGTGCTGTGCTGTGAGGCACCCTGGGTGCTCAGCGGGCAGAGCAGCCCTGCGCAGACCCCCATTCTCTTCGTGTGGTGGCAGGAGCTGTGACAGCTCCCCGAGGCAGAGGGAGAGACGCGCAGCCTCTCATGCGTTTCAGTAGTCTGACAGTTAAGTAGGAAATGTAAATGTCCTCTGCATGTCACATTATTGTGGCTTTATGAAATTGTATTTGTATAAAAATAGATAGTAAACATGGTACTGATTTAAAAAGATACAGAAAGGGGTACAGAAAGTGTAACTTCTGGACTGGGCATAGTGATGCACACATATTAATCCCATCACTTGGGAGGCCGAGACAGGAGGATCACAGAGTATTTGAGGCCAGCCTGGACAGAGTGAATTCAGTGGGCTGGAGCTACATAGTGAGACCCTTTCTCAAATAACACCAAGGAAAGCAAAGGAAGTATGACTTCTGACTCCTCACTGTCCTGTCACCAAATTCCCAACTTGCCACTGTTGGCAGTTTCTTATGATTCTTCCACAGTACTCCATGTGTTTATCAACATTGATTTATGTGCCTTTAAAGTACGCTTTTGATGATAATAACAATAAGCTCGTCTTCTGGATGGTTAACAACCTAAGTTTGCAGACCAAAATTAGAGAAAAAGGAGGGCTACAAGGAAAGCCAACATTTTGGCCCTAGCCTTCTAAGGTCAATTAAGACTCAGGACATATGAGAACTTGTACTGTAACGTCATGTACCTCGGTAGTGTCCCAAATTTTCTGATCAAGAAGATTATGGGGCCAAAGAGGAAAGTGATCGATGATGTAGAGTGGGCCTAAGGAGAGTCACATGGGGAGAAGACACTCTCTCAGGCTTTCACAGAGAGCACATTGGCCAAGCATTGGCCGTGACTCATCCACATGGCTGACACTGACAAAGGCTCTACAATCTGAGGTACAGGATCTCAGAATAAATCCTGAGGGCATTGCACTGACCTTCTCAGACCAAAAAGCTACAACTCTTGTTGCACAGGTCCTGCTTTACCTTGGTCTTAACCATCCAGTAGAAAAGTATGAAGACAAAATATAGGAAGTAAAGCCATGTTGTTATGTTGAGCTGTGGGGGACTCAGGTCAATAATTTCTGACATTGCCAGTTAAACAGAAGATCCAATGCTATTAAGGGCTACTGGACTCTTTTAGAATATTTTGCTGAGTTTACACACCTATAATATTCAACAATGGAACTTAAAAAAATTGGGATATAACTATGAATGTCCATTTTGTATCTGTGTATTCAAAGTGGTTGGGATAGATATATAGTTGCATTCTCTTAATGAAAAAAAAAAATAAAGTAGGCTTTTGAAATTGAACACTTCCCTTGGTTCTTGCCTGCAGTATACAGTGACTGCCTTCCCTGCGGGGAATTGGTGGTGTGTGAAACTCATCCCCTTCCCCCTTTGCAAAATGGTAACAGTTTCCTTTTTAAATTATAAAAGTAAAACGTTAAAAAAATAAAACTCATTCCTTTTTTTCAAGTCTCACTTGTGTCAAGTACAGAAGAAGAGTAAAAGGCACAGTGTCTTCCCGCTCCACGCTGGGGTCTCTGCGCCAGCGTCAGCGCTTTGCTTTTCTGTATGTGGAGGGCATCATGTTTAGGAACAATAGAGGTTTGTGATTTGAAAAAAAAGAATAGAACATAAACATATAATGATATTTTTAAAAGCCATTTTATTGTTTTATGTAACAGATGTGACATAAAATATCCTTAATGTAGTACTCTTTTATACTAATTTTGTCATAAGTTTGTAGTTGACTGACCAGGAAAACTTTTGTGTATACAAATTCATGATCACCTTTGATTGAGCCTTTCTTCATTTTTTTGAGACAGGGTCTTGGTTGTGTAGTCCAGGCTGGCCTGGAACTTTGTGTGTAGCTCAGGGTGGCTTGGAACTCATGGTGGTCTTCCTGCCTCATCCTCCCGAGTGCTGGGATTACAGGTGTGCACCACCATGCCTGGAATCTTTCCTTTGCTTTCCTTTCCTTTCCTTCACTTTCTTTCCCTTTTCTTTTTCTTTTCTCTTTCTATCTTTCTCTCTTTTTGACATAGGGCCTTGCCATGTAGCTGAGATTTGCTTTGAACTCACTGGCTTAAAACTCAAGGTTCCCTTCCCGCCTCAGCCTCCTAAATGCTGGGATTACCTGTGCATGCCAGGATGCCGGGCTTCCTCTTTTAATGTTTAATTTTGCTGCTATATGTTTGTGACCCATAATAATTCTGTTGTCCTTGGGGATTGGTATCCATGTACACATAACATCTCAATCACCTGTCCTTCCCCTGCCTCCCCGTCTTACTCAGAGCTTCCGATCTCCACAGTCAGCCTCCCTGTTCCCCTCATTGCTTTCTTTAGTCCTTTAAATTACTTGTATTTTGGGTTTCTCACATATCATTTGTGACAAAATGAATGCATGTGGAGACCTTGCTGTTTAGTGAAGTCAGATAGCACATTAAATGCTGGGTGGCTTCTCCAGGGCTCCTTTCACCAGGAGAGACAGTGCAAAGGACCCTTCCTGGCCTGGTGGCCTCTGATATCCCTGCCTGTCCTCACAGCATGGGGTAAGGGGCTGAGAAGCAACCCCTCGAAATGCCAGGCCCCTGGCCTCTGGAGGAGATGGTTATTTCTATTCCTTACCCTCCTTGGCTGACATCTAAAGTGACATCTACATAACCAGGTAGCCCACCAACTCTATGCTGACTTGTAGGCAGGGTCTGTGCTTGTGGCTTTCGTTGCCAGGGGTGCAGGATGCTGATTTTGGGTAAGGAAAGGTTTTCTTCTCCAATGTCTAAGCACCGTGAGCCTTCCACCGCCCATCAGCTGCACTCTTCTATCCTTCCCAGCTGACACACAAGTCCCATGCTGGCTTCCTGTCAGGGCCATGACGACTCTCACTCACAGTGTGTTCTTCACAGTTGAGGTGTCGCCACACATGCTTGAGAGAATTTGCTGGCTTATTGTTGCACGTGCCGTCGTTGTGGACCGAGCCGTGCTTGTGTCTGTGTGAGGCGGCCATTCTCTGTCCTTGCCAGCTCAGTGCTGCTTCTCACTGAGCCTGGGCATAGTGAATGGAGGTTGAGTCTTTTATTCCTTTATGTTCACTAAATTCCTAGGCTATCCTCGAACTCCCAGCAATCCTCCTGCCTTAGCCTTCTGAGTGCTAAGACTGTAAGGGTGAACTACTACACCCTGCATCTTATAAATAAAATGTTTTAATTAAATGTTAGGAAGTATAAATACTAAAATACATGTTTTGTGTAATAAGAATATGATATAATGCTAATATTTCCCACTCAGGAGGCTGAAGCAGGAGGGTCACAGCTTGTTCAAGGCCAGCCTGAACTAGATAGACCCTGTCTCAAAAACCCAAAAATATAAAATAGAGAGACAGAACCAGAGCCAGTGGCTAAGTTCAGCCTGCCTCTTGTACAAGTAGCCACACCACCTGTTATATATGGGCTTTGGCTATTTGTAGCTTGCTAGTGTAGGTGAGCAATTGTGACAGACTGGGTAGCTCCATAAACTGGAAATATTTACTATCTGGTCTTTTCCAGAAAACATTTGCTGTTCCTTGCCTTGGAATTTCCCTTTGTGAGATGGCAGTATACTGTTTGTTTTCTTATTAACTAGTTAATTAATTTAGGGATTAAAAAATTTAGAGATAGGAGCTCACTGTGCAGTTCAGGCTGGCCTTGAACTCACTGGATAGCACAGGGCTGGCCTCGAACTTGCAGTGATCCTCCCTTTTTTTTTTTTTTTTTGCGGGACTGGGGATTGAACTCAGCCCTTTATGCTTGCCAGGCAAGCGTTTATTTTACTGCACTATCTCCCCAGCCCCTGTAGTGATCCTCTTGTGTCAGCCTCCTGGGTGCTGGGATTGCTGGCGTGCACCACCATGCAGGGCCAACTTTTTGTTTTCCTGAAAATGTGTTTCTGTTTTGTTCTTACTACAGTAGTTTCAGAGGGTTGGCAGCTGGTCTGTCAGTGTCTTGCTGAAACTCTCCCCGTTTTCTGGATTTCGCATCATTGCTGTTTGGAAGACTAGTTGTTCCTTTGAAGATGGACTCTTTCCTCTTTGTTTTTTATCAGTCTGTGTTCGGTGTACACAATGACTATAGTCATCACGGGGAGCTGGTGCATGCATATCCACAGTAGGGTTCTTTTTATTCCCCCTTTTTCTGTGGTAGTGGGAATCAAAACTTTGCCTCTGGTGCTCTGTAGTGCCATCATGTTCTAGCTGTGTAATGTGAAGTTTTGAATTTCTTTGCAGTTCAGTTTCTGTTGTGCTTGGAAGTCACTGGGCTTTTGTCAGCTCCAGAAAGCTTTGCATCCTCCTCTGTAGATGTTAGCTCTGCTGTGTTCGCTCTTCTTTCTTTGGAAGCTGTAGATGCAGTTGACCTTTCATGCTAATCTTCATGACATGACCTGACAGTCACATTTTCTTTGTCTCTCAGCGCTTTAATATTGATATATTCTTCAGATTTGTATTTTTTAACTGTCTTCATTCTAGATTTATTTATTATATGTTTTATTATTGAGTTAATTTATTACATGTCTTCTGAATTGTGAAATGCTTGGTCATTTATTATAGAACTTTATGTTTTCAAATTCTTTAAACTTTTATAGATATTAATAAAGTACTGTTTTATTTGAAATGCCTTTTTTTAAAGAATACAAAATAGTGATGAAAAAACAGCATTAGAAATGATACAAAATTTCACTAAACCAACTAATAGAAATTCAGTAATGGTTGCTGTATTGCATGGTATTATCTTCAGATTAGTTGTTCAGGTTACTGGATATAAATATGCAAGATTGGTTTAAAGAAAAAACAAAATAAAACAAAACAATAACAAAAAAGTTGTAAGAAATTCAAAAGAAAAAGAATAAAAAGATAAAAATTTAAACATTACCTGATCGTCTCAAAAGACCAGCAGAAATTGGCAGGGAAGAGTCTGTTCTGCTGGTTCTTTGGCACCATGTTTTGGACTACATATTTTGGTTTATTTTTAGAACTATCTGTGGAGGTTTCTGGAGGCCTGGGTTGAGATTTGCATCTCTGCTGCCTTGGGCTATGAACTGCACCTCTTCAGATGTCACTTTCAGACTGTGTAGACGCAGAAGTGATCCAACCTCAGGCTGTTTAACAAGATGAGGACTGACTTTAGCTCCAAAGCCTCAGGGTTTTGTACATTATGGTTTTTAATTTTTTGAGGCTGGAGACCCTCGAGGGACAGGAAGGGGCCCCTTGTTGGGTGGGAGAAGACCTCCTACTTTAGGTGACAAGGTGAGTTCAGAGCTTTGCTCACCCCCCTCACTGGTTGCTTTGGCTGTTGACCACCGGACCCAAAAGCAGGTTTTATAACAAAGACAACTTTTGTAAAATTAGGAGGGGACTAAGAAACAGGAAGGAGATAGATGGGCCTTAGAAAGAATGAAGGTGTGTTATGTTATGGAGTCCCGCAGGAGTGCGGTCATGCACACATGGACCACGGTAAAGAAAACAAGCTCTTTTCTCTGCTATCTTGTTCTCTGTCACCATATCCAGGCTCTAAGTTTACCAGCCACACAAAGTATAGATAATTTAATGCAAAATAGGAAATAGGAGGATGGTTCTTTTTGTGAATCGGAAGTGGACCATGAGCCTGGGGGAGGGAAAAGGAAGGGGATAGAGAGAGAAAAGCAGAAGTTAAAAGAATTGTATTGTTACAGATGTGCACCAACTCCCCAGAGATGTGTTGTGTGCTCATACATGGGCTAATAGAATTTTTTTTTTTTTTTTTTCCTGGCTCAGTGGAATAAGCGCTTCCCTGGCAAGCGCAAGGGCCTGAGTTCAGTCCCCAGTTCCACCAAAAAAAAAAAAAAAAAGGGAAATAAAAATTTGAAAGAGAAAGAAAACTTATCTTTCAGAGTTGGCGCAATATTTTTAGCCTTTTGTGTTTTACAGCAAGCATAGTACTTTCTCTACTGATAGGCTCTGGTCCCAGTATAAATTGCTAAAATCATTATGGTGGTTGTATAATATGGCTGATTTCCTTAAAACGAAAGCTCATCTTCCCCAAGACCATCTCTGCCTTCTTCTCCAACTTAGCCTGAGACACAGTTTCCTTCCACCCTTCCCGCTGCCTCAGGGAAGGCCCCAGGCAGCTCCCTCAGGTATATCTAAACATCTCCTTCAAACCCATCCCCTGGCAAAAGGTCTTAAAAGCCCTGGCCTCCCTTTGTTCCAATCCAGAGAGAATTCCTCATCCTTCCCCACTTTCTCTCCCCTGTCCTCCAAGAAAATAAAGCCCCTTTCCCTTCTTCCTTCTGCCTGTTTCTGTGCTTCACTGAGTACCTATCACCTACTAGACCTTAGGAGATCATGTTTTCATTTTAAAATCATTTCCACTTGATTACAAAGTTATGTTCATTATAGACAACAGAAAAAAGCCAAAACAGAAGACACTAAAAATTTAAAAATTGGCCTCCTCTGAGGTAGAGTAAGCATTTTAATATATATGGCTGCAACATTCCCTAAGTATTAAGTTAGTTTGGTGAGCAAGTGTGTCTGGTAGCCCTGATTCAGCATTGGGACTTACATTTTTATTGTGGGCAGATAGAAGAAAAGATTTGAAAACTCCTCCATCTCATAGGAAGCAGGGGCAGACACTGAACTGTCACTCAGGACGCCATTGCAAGAATGGTTTTTGCAAACTTCTCTGGAATTTGGGCAACTTGGTCATTTTCCATCCTCATGAGCCTCTGAGACCTCTAACTCCCCTCCCCCCTTTTCTGTTCTTCCTACTCCTGAAGCTCACATTTTATGCCAGTTGTAGCATCTATTCCATCCTTGGTTTTAAATGCAATTATCTTTCCACCCTGACTTCCACTGCCTTTTAAAAATGTATTTTACAAAAGTATGTCAATACCACACACCAACCTGAAGACCCCTTCAGATACAGTCCAGTGTATCCTGTCCTCCTTCATGACCATGGTGGTGCAGAAGAGAGATTACTCTGAGTCCACATCCAATTTAACCTCAAGGCCACCCAGAGGAGCTCTGTTTTCTCAAGACTCCTCAGAGTGAGAGTCTCAGGAAAAAGCAGCCCCTTTGGAAGCTTTTGTGACTGTTTATTAGTAGAACCAGGAAGCAAAGATAAAAGGAATTCATGTGAAGACAGGACAGGTGTGGGTGATCTGCAGTAATTTGTATTTCCCTAGTCTAAGAAAGCCACTGGGGAGGGAGAGAACTGGCTGAAGCACCCATGTCTAAGAATAACCTGTTTGGGGCCCTGCTTGGCTGTTGCTTCTGTATGCTTTAATCTGTAGCCATCCATTCTAGGAAGCCTGGGCCATTGCTGCAGGGCTTCCCTTTATTTTAGCAATCATTTCAATCATTCCTCAAGCCAGAGTCTCCCCTCAAATGTCTGGATTAGAAATTACCTTTGTAACTAAATGAAGGCAAATTCAGTAATGTAGTCTTGAAGCATTGTAGTCCCAAATTAAAATATGCTGAGAGTAATAAATATATTAGTTAGGACTAAGTGGCTAGCTTGACTGAACACTGCTTTGTCTTTTTAGAACAAGATTAAGAGGGGCCGGGGAGATGGCTCAGTGGAGTAAGCACTTCCTTGGCAAGTGCAAGGGCCTGAGTTCAATCCCTGGTTCTGAAAAAAAAAAAAAAAAAAAAAAAAGATTAAGTGAAAAAAGGTGAAGTTATGGTGTGTGGTAAATCTCAGTACAAAAGTACCGAATTTTAGGTGTACACAGGAGGAAAGACACAGAGGTGCCCAGTTTAGCGGAATAGGAGTATCCTCAAATTTTATTTTCTTAAAACCAAGCTTGATAACCAGTGCGCTTATTTCCACGTGAAGAGAGTCTTCCGTTCGAACTGTTCTTCCTCCAAACGGCTTCCATGTTCGGAAGTTCCACCACCACTGTACCGCTGGCGCGATGTTTTCCTGGAGAAGATGTGTACGTCGATTGGTCTCAGGGAATACTAAAGCCATCTAATAAATGGGTCTTACAAAAACATCAAATAATGGACGTGGCTCTCTTTTAGAAAAATAATGCAAATTTGTATTTAAAAAGTGTTATTGTTGGCTAGAATAAAGTAGATTTTGGAGTTGGATTTTCCAGTCTAATGAGAATCCTAGTGCACACCCTGACACACACCCTCTTGCACTAGAGCCTCACACATAAGAAGCAGGCTGGCAGGCAGAGGTACATTAAGATATCGGTTATATTTAAACAATTCTTTTTCCTTCCGTGGGTGACGACGACCTCGCGGAGCTGTCCACGGTGGCCTTGGAGTCCCCGAAGGCATTGCTGGCCGAGGCCCGGCCCGGAGGCGGTGGCGGCGGCGGCGGCGGGGGTGCCTTGCGCCTCGGGGTGTCGGCGCTCCCGGTGGGCCCGCCCGCGGCACGCTCGGCTCTCAGGACGCAGCCGGCCCCGAAGAGCTCCTCCATCAGGCTGCTCTTCCGCTCCCGGAAGGCGGGGTCCTTCGCCTTGGTCCGCGCCGACTTCCCGAACGAGGGCTCGTAGCCGACGGGCGCTTCCGGCCTGGCCTCGGCCGCAGCTCCGCCGCGAGCCCTGTGCACACCGTGTGCTGGGCCGTGGCCGCCGCACGCAGGGAGCCCGTGGTGCAGGTTCTCCGTGGCTTCCGAGAAGGCGTACAGCTTCCTCTGCCTGCAGGGCAGCTTGGAGCTGCCCAGGACGCCGCGATCGCGGTCTGAGTCCCTGTCCACGTCGGCGTCCGCGTCTGCGTCGCCCCGTGGAACGCCTCTTCTGAGCCGGTCCCGCCCTGCGCCGTCATCCTGGCTGCTGGCTGGGTCTAGGTCAGGGAGGACCCCAGGAGCGGCTTCAGGGAGCAGCTCCGGCTCTTGGAAAAGGGGTTTCTTTTCTTGATCTGCCTTTTTCTCCTTTTGTCTCCCCGCATTCTCCAGCGCTGCATGTACTTCCAGATGCTCCTCCTCCTTTGATAAATCTGTGTTAGAAAAACAGACATTTGAGGGTCTTTGAAGGCTGAGCGGAGACATAGTGCATGCATGCCCAAGCAAAGCTAAGAATAACAGTAGAGGCAACGGGGGTAGGGGAGGCCACACACAACACGCCAAAGAGCATGCTGAGAGTGTAATCTATTCCTAGACTATCCTAAATACATGGGAATTATGAAATCAAAAGAAAACACCATTCATAGGCAAAGACATGCAATTTGCCAGGCTATGAATAGGTTCTCGGTATCATCAAGTAGGCAATAGAGCCAGGAAAAGAGAACATTTTTCACCCATCCTATGGGCAAATAATTCCCAGAACTGATGAGAACATGGGGACACTGCGATTTTTGACCCCACTCGTGGGCATATTAATTGCAAGAGCTTTTTATATGGCACTTTGGCAGTATCTATGAAAATTTCAAGTGGACAGTGTGGGCCAACAGCCAGCCTCATGTCTGGGGACAAGTCTGCAGAAATAGACAAAGATCAGTAGAAGGATGTTTACTGCAGCCTGGTTTAGGAACAATGAGACATAAGTGTCTGTCAAAGAAGTAATGGTTCTGTAATCCCAGCAGTAGGGAGGAAGCAGGAGGATCACCTGAGTTCCAGGCCAGCCTGGATTACATAGTGAGACCCTGTCTCAAAAAAAGAAAAAAAATCAAGAAGATTATGGGGCCAAAGAGGAAAGTGATCGATGACGCAGAGTGTGCCTAAGGAGAGTCACGTGGGGAGAAAACACTCTCTCAGGCTTTCACAGAGAGCACATTGGCCAAGCAATGGCCGTGACTCATCCACATGGCTGACACTGACAAAGGCTCTACAATCTGAGGTACAGGATCTCAGGATAAATCCTGAGGGGATTTCACTGACCTTCTCAGACCAAAAAGCTACAACTCTTGTTGCATAGGTCCTGCTTTACCTTGGTCTTAACCATCCAGTAGAAAAGTATGAAGACAAAATATAAGAAATAAAGCCATGCTGTTAAGTTAAGCTGTGGGGGACTCAGGTCAATAATTTCTGACATTGCCAGTTAGGCAGAAGACCCAATGCTATTATGGCCTCTGGACTCTTTTAGAATATTTTGCTGAGTTTACACACCTATAATATTCAAATAACGGAACTTAGAAAAAAAGGGTATACAGATGAATGTCCATTTTGTATCTGTGTATGCAAAGTGGATGGGATAGATATATAGTTACACTCTGTTAATGAATAGAATGATATGTTCTAATGGTGTTTGTAAATTAACCACTAAGAAGAATGTATGCAGTGTGTTAGTTATTGAAACTGTCCTAGCGATTTGATTTGAAACTGTCTCATTGCTATCTGTTTATCAATAAAATTATAAAAAAAATTAAAAAAAAAAGAAAAAAAATTAAAAAGGGAAAAGAAAAGAAAAAAAGAGTAATGGTTCAAAAAAGTGTGGCATTTGCAGTCCATGGGTGTTCTGGACAGAGTTGGATGGATAATGTGAAGTGAAGGAAAAGCTGTTCATAAGCAATACTCAGGGCCGGGTATTTGCCAGTTTTCTTTGGGGGCTGGGGGCTGAGCCCAGGGCTGCCTGTGTGCACTGGGCAGAGGCCCAATGCAGGGTGATTTGCATTGTTCTGTGCCGTCTCCCAGTGCCAGAGCAGTGCCTGACACAGTATATGTGCAGAAAGAAGTTTTCAGATGAAGAAACTGTTAGGACGCTATCAGTGACCCAGAAGAACTGAAACATGAGTAGAAACGTGTACAGGCAGTGTGGCCGCAGTGAAAGTGCAGGCGAACGTCAGTTTCCGTGAATCTGCAGCAGGCAGGGTGGCTTTCCATTCAGAGAATTCCATCAAGCTGTGGAGTTATTCCAGCTTTCTTAGTTCCCCCAGTCCAGGTGTGGGCCTTCCTGGGCACATATCCACCACTGTTTTATGTTAATCATCTATCTACTAATGGTAACAGGGAATTGAGCCCCTGGCTTTCGACTGAGCTACATCCCACCCCTTTTTAAACTTTTTATTCTGAGACAGCGTCTCTCTAAATCATTGAATTGCCCAGGCTGGGCTCAAACTTGTGACCCTTCTGGCTCTGCCTCCCACACTGTTGGGATTACAGGTTTGCACCACCATGCCCACCTGGTGCTCCTTTACTGTGATTCTACTAACTGGGTGTTTTTTTTTATTTTTTATGTTTGAGACAGGGTCTCATATAGTACAAGCTGGCCTTCAACGCACTGTGATCCTCCTGCCTCAGCCTCCTGAGTGCCGGGACCACAGGTGTATACTAACATACCAGGCTTTATTTATGCTGTTATACACATGCATACTAATTCACCATTGAAAAAAATAAGAATATAGGAGACTTTTTTCAGTATTGGAGGATAGGCAAAGTTTGTGCCTTAGATACGCTAAGCAAACTCTTGCCCATTGAGCTATTTGACATCCCATAGAGATCTTTAAAGCTTGGTATGATTACCTTCAAATTTTCTCTTAGAATCCTCTTGCTTTGGCACTTTACTGACATAATAAGGAATTTCACAGTTTATCTCACTTGATTTCTCTTTAGGGCGAATGTTTCTTGTTATCTTTTTACCCTATAATTTAGAAAAGCAGAACAAATACATTTTTGGGAGTCTAAATAATTTTAACTTGTATTTTATTCTAATGAACACACATACTGTGCGTGTATAACAAGTGATGGGCTGTAGCTTAGTCGTTTTTGTTCAGACATGTTCAGCCACAGAAAGATTTCCCACTTGCCCTACCTTTGTTGTCAAAGCTGGAACTTCTTGTGACTTTTGGGTTTCCTGGTGTCTCATATTTATGAATGACAAACTTTTTCTGTCTGCTTGTACTGATTTTGTTGAAGAAACTGCAGAATAGGTAGATTACATGTGAGATTCGTAGTTTTACATTTGGAAACAATATTGATTTTAAACAACATACCACTAAAGTATGCAATGTCATACAACAAAGTGTACTATGTTCTACATAGTCAATGTACATATAACATTTTGGGGTTTCCTTTTTTTTTTTTTTTTTCCTGGCATCTCTCTTGTCTCATTTTGGGTTGCAAAGGCTACAGGATCCTAGGGCTGGGAGCAGAATCGGGTGTTAGGATCTAAGATGGCACTGCTGTGAGGAAAGGATGCCCCCTGCAGGTGGGATTTGGAGCTGCAGATGCGCAGTGATGAGGGCCGGCTCCTGGTGAAGACATCCTGTGCCAGGACCACCGAGTATCCTGGGTTAATCACTCAGGACTGCTCACAGTTGCTCACGTCAGGCATATGGACTTCTGACTGCACAGTGATGTGAGGGCCTTTCTGGGGAAATGTGGACTTGATGGGCTGCGAGTTACATAGGTCTAAACATTGTCAAAAATCCACTAAACTGAAAAGCTAAAGGGGACTTTTTTTTTTTTAAGGCAAGATCTCACTGTGTAGTTCAGGCTGGTCTTGAACTCAGAGGATCCTCCTGCCTCAGCCTCCCAAGTGCTGGGATGACAGGCGTGGGCCACCATGTCTGGCTTATGGTGGCATCTTGTTAGGTTAAGTATATATCAAGAAAATCCGTTTTCAAAAGCCACACACTGCAGCAGATATATTTAGAAAGCTCAGTTTTGGCAGGTATTTGCTTCCAGCTGAAAAGTCATTCTGCCTTTCTACTTGATGTAAGGACTTGAAAGACGAAATCAAGAATGGGAAAACAGGAAAACATTTCTGCTCCTTTCTCCGTCTTCCAACACATCGTATCCGTCCTTGGCTGGGCGTTGTGGCACGTGCCTGTGATCCTAGCACACAGTAGGCCGAGGCAGGAGAATTGAGGCCAGCCTGAGCAATGTAGTTCAAGACCAGCCTGAACTACATAGCAAGGACCTGTCTCGAAAACATAAAATAAAATAAAATTGTTGAATTAAAAAAAATCCTTTTGGCTACATACATCAGGAGCATATGACCAGGTGCTTAAAAATAGATTTTGAGTGCTAGCTTAGAGGAAATGTATACTAAAATTGGAACGGGGCAGAGAAGATAAGCATGGCCCCTGTGCAAGGACAGCGTGCAAATTCATGAAGTGTTCTGTATTTTAGGAACCACTTCCAAGTGGTCTTGAGCTGTTTGGCAGGTTCTTTTTTTTTTTTTTTTTTGGTGGAACCAGGGATTGAACTCAGACCCTTGCGCTTGCCAGGCAATCACTTATTCTATTGAGCCATCTCCCCAGCCCCTGTTTGGCAGATTCTTTAGCAAAGCAGAAATGAGGCTGATGGAAAATACCAAATTCTAGATTTTTTTTCTTTTTCTTCACTGGCTCGGCCCTCCCTAAGGGTGGGGCTGGCACCACTGTGGTGCTGGGGATCAAACTGGGGTCTCCTGTGCCTGCCTAAGCTTACCTAAGCAGGCACTTTGGACAGCTGAGCTATCTCACTGGCCCCCAAAATACCAACTTCTAAAAAAATTTTTTTTAAGTAAAAGGAATAAAAACACACCTTTTGGGTATTCTTCTAGTTCCCGTATATTTCTAAGTATTCGATTAGTATAGATGTTTTTAATTTCAAGCTCACGCTCCTTTTCCTAAAAAAGAATAACAATATTGATTTTTCTATTAATATTTACTTTTATTAATCTTGATTTCCTTCAAAAAACAATTTAAGTGAGCTCAGTCTGCTGCGAATGCAATCTGTAGGGTCCAGAAGGAGCAGAAATAGGCCTTAGCATTGTGTCCCATTCCAGACACCAAACAGCACCAGCTTTTTGACAAGGGGACTCATGATGGAGATGGGGACTGGACTTTGCAAGTAAGCTTCTTCACAGTGTTTTCTTGTCCCCTGGGCCTGTGCTGCCGGAGAGGAGAGTGCCTTGGGCAGGAGGAGACAGACAGAAAGCTTATGCTTATCTGTGAGTGGGGCTCATGAGGAAGTAGCATCATAGAAAACAAAGAACATAAATTACCTTTTGTAATCTCAGCTGGAGAGCATTGCATTTGCACTCCTCTTGATTGCAAAGTTACTTTTAAACTTTGTTTTTAAAAAAATTTTATTTATTTATGTGGTGTGTGTGTGTGTGGGGGCAGCTCAGCCCACCAGGGGGCGGGGCTGGCTGGCATGTGGTGCTGGGGGATTGAACCGCGGTCCCTGTGCTTTGATAAGCTTGTTCTAAGTAGCTGCTTTAGACCACTGAGCCATCTCACCAGCCCCTGCAAAGTTACTTTTAGCTGCTCTAGTGATAGATAAAATGTAAGAATAGGAATCTTTTCTAGAATTTATATTTCCAGAAGCAAAGATGTTATGTTGAAATCTGTCCTGTCCTCCCTTCTTATGGAAACTGAGCCCAAGGACCAGTACTTGGGCCGCTGGCCAGGTTATTGTGAGTGTGAGGTTGAAGAGAAAAGTAGAGTAGAAAGCTATTCAGAATGAAAGATGCTTAAGAAAGAAAGATTTCAGTGTTTCTGGAGGGGAGATGTTGGTTTTCTGGAAAGTTCAGTTCCACCAGTTGGTTGTGGTGGGCTGGGCGGTGTGCAACTGGGTGGCAGTGCACAGAACATAGCTGGCCGCTGAGGTGACAGAGTATGTCTGGGGTAAGAGGAAGCTCTGTGAAGGAAAGCCACACATACCCAGCCCTCGAACAGAGGTTCACAGTGGGCACCAACCATAGAGCTGGGCCTGCACCACCCAGAGTATGTGTGTGGCTGAGTTCAGTCAGTGAATCAAGGGGATAAGGAACTCCCCTCAGAGCTAGGAATGATCATGGAATCCCTGTGAAATGCCCATAAGAAAGATGACCTATGAGCTCAAAGGGAAGTCAAGTCACAGAGTTAAGTGAGGCACAGTGGCGCACACCCATGAAACTCTTGCAGGAAGAACAGAGTCAACAGTAGTCAGAAGCTCAGGAGAAGAAGGGAGATTTTATGGATGCTAGTGAATCCCAGAGGAGTAATCTCCAAAGTTTGAGGCATTGATCCCAAAGAGCTTGTCTTATTTATAAGGTGGCAAACAGAAGTTACAAGAATGAGATAAGCTTTTGCTGAAGGTTTTGATATAGTGGGTATCTTGTGGTGAGCACAGCTGTATGTAGCAAAGTTGTTTTTAGCACATTCACAGAAATTTCAGTTTGATGACAAATTGTATGATTTGGATGAGTTCAATGGCAGAGAACAGAATGCCTGCAGCTTTACTGAACAAAATGCTAGTTAGGTCAGGATTTCTGCTTCAATACCAGTACTCTAGGAGCTTGAGGCAGGATGATTACAAGTTTGAATCTTCCTTGGGCAATTTAGTGATTTAGTGAGATCCTTTATGCCAATAAAATTTTTTAAAAACTGCCTTTGGATGTAGCTCAGTGCACAGTCCTTGGGTTTAATCCCCAGCACCCTCACCTACCCAAAGAGAAGGTTGGGCAATGGTGTGGAATCATGGTATGGTCAGTGAAGAGAAATGGTTTCCAAAAATTAGCACATTCTTAGGAGATACCACCCTTTAGGGAGACCAGGACGGCAAGCAGGTAGGCCGGGGCTGCAGTACCTCATCTGGGAGCTGCAGGAGGCTGGCCTCTGTTTTCTTATTGCAGCCCATGCCTTAGAAAGAGCCTTCACTAGTGGTGGGTGACTTTGATAATGAGTTTCAGCATGGAGCAGGTGACCTTTCGTTCCTGGAGCTGGACCACCCAAGCCCAGACAGTAATGCCCGACATTAACATGGCAGACTATTGTTGCCTAAAACTGCCGCAGTAGAATTTCTTGTCCCTGTACTCTTCTAGAACCTTGTGATCCCACCTTGAGAGGTGGCACTTACTGCCTGGACTTCCTTGGTCATGGAATGGGGCAGAGATGATTTGTGACAGCCAAGGCAAGGTCATAAAGAGCAATAGGGCTTCTTTCTGCCTGGTGCTCGCTTGTTTCTGTGTCTATTTTCATCTCCATCTCCAACTCCACCTCCTCCATCTTTGTCTCCTCCTCTAACTCCACCCCTGTCTCCATCTCCTCCTCCAATCCATCCACCTTTCTATCTACACCTCCACCTCCAACTCCTCCATCTCCACTTCAATCTCCACCTCTACCTCCGTCTTAATCTCCTTTTTCTCTACCTCCACCTCTTTTTCCACCTCCACTTCCATGTTTACCTTTATCTCCACCTCCATCTCTGTCTTACTACATGGACTGCCTTGGCCCATGTAATGAGACAGAGATGATACTGTATGACAACGAAAGTGAGGTCATAAAGGGCACTGTGACTTCTTCCTGTCTGGTGCTCGCTTGCTCGGTGTCTGACTCTGTCTCTATTTCTACCTCCACCTCCACATCCTCTTCATTCTTTCCCTGGGAATCCAGCCATAGAGCTGTGAAGGTGCCCTCACCACATGGAGAGTCTATGGGTAGGCTTCATGTCAAAATCCAGCTAAGACGTCAGCTGTCATTAGAGATGGGAGTGGGACATCCGATAGTTCTAGTTCCCAGCCTTTGGTCACCCTCATGAATTGTCTGTGGCAAGCCATGCCTAAATTGTAAACTCATGAACAAAATTCATGTCAGTCCTTTAGTCACTTAAATTTGGGAGTAACATGTTATACGGTGCATAATGGGAATAGTCTGGGTTCTAAAACATCCTCAGGTTTCTGTTCCTTCCCATGGGGTCACTCCTGGAGCCCAGAGGGGGAGCAGGTGGCACTGGAAGGAGGTGGGGTGAGTCCTAAGTGTGGGGAGAACGGCAGCCCACAGGCCCTGGGTTAATGACTAACCCATGGGAAATAGCTAAAGTGATTGTTTTTAAATAATTTGGAGTAACATAGTCTCTTTTTAAAAAATCATCTTTTATTGACACATTTTAGATACACACAGTGATCACATTCATCACAGAGAATCTGCAGCACCTGTACATGATGTAATTTGTTTTCTTTCCCCCCCACCGTTCCTCTACCCTCCCTCCCTTCAACCCCTTCCCCCCATCTTCATTTACTAAAGTTTTGCCTCCATTTTTTTTCTATTTTTAGGACAGGATCTACAAAATCTACAGGGTCTCACTACGGAGATTGGACTTGTAGTGATCCTCCTGTTTTCAGCCTTCCAATCACAGGGACTATAGGTGTGCGCCACCATGCCCAGTCTGTCACTGTCTTAGCAGGCCCAGGGGCCGGGGAGCAAACCCCGGTTGCTGCACTCTGCCTAAGCAGGCACTATAGTCCTCTGAGCTATCAGGCTGGCCTCTCCATGTTGTTTTTTTCCTTTTTCCTCTCTCCCTTTCCTGTTTGAACATTTGCTTCCTATTTCACAGTGTGTATTATACACGTTTGATCCTTGTTTACACTTTTGGTTTCTTACACTAGAAAACCAATGCATTATTTACACATGTGTGTCCAATTTATGTCACTTGAGTGTGGTCTCAAGGTGCATCCATTTACCAAGAAATATTCTGAGCATATCTTTCTTTATGGCAGACTAGAATCCATTGTATAAAAACCCCCCATCATCTTTACCCATTCACCACAAGATTTGGCTGTTACAATCTGGGTAACATATCCTTTTGGTCTGTCATTTTTATCTCTTTTTCTTCTAGCTCCTTGTTTAGGGAGCTTGTCCCAGTATCCTGCACCAGTGATGGTGAATCTTGGGGGGATTCTGATGGTGCGACAGCCCACTGCAGTGCTTGTGCTGTAGATCTCACCACCACTGCCATAGACTATCTTCTAGCTCTTCATTGACTTTTCTAGAGGGGAAATCACATTAATTTTTACTGTTTTCTGATTTTTCCATTTTTATAACATCATAGTTTGTTGACACAATATCTTCTTTCCAGGGATACTGACCTGGATCAGCTATTTGTTTGTCTGCATCTGCCCTTCCTCCCTCTCTCGACTTCTTCCTCCCCTTTTCTCCCCTCCTTTTCTCTTCCCTTCCCTTCCTTTTTCTTCCCCCTCCTTCCCTTTTCTTCCCTTCCCTTCCCTTCTTTCCCCTTCCTTCCTTCCTTTCTTCTTTTCTTCCCTCTCTTCTTTCCTCCTTTCTTCCCTCCCTCCCTCCCTCTTTTCTTGCCTTCTCTTCCCTCTTCTTCTCCACCTCTCTCCAGTGCTAAGGATGGAACTCGGGACCTTTGCACTGAGCGGCATCCCAGATACTATTATTTTTTTTTTTTAAATTTTGAGACAGGGTCTCTCTATCAGTCATTGCCCAGACTGGGCTAGAACTGGCTGTCCTCCTACTCCATCCTGCCAGAGTTCTGGGATTGCTGCCTGAGCCACCACACCTGGACTTTGTTTTCTCTCACACCAAGGGTCACACAAGATAAGGTGGTATCTTGGTTACTACTTTTGTTGTTGTTTTTGCTGGGACAAAATACCTGACACCCAAAAGTAAGGAGGGAAAGGCTTATTCAGCTCACAGTAGGGGTTTTAGTCTATATTCAGCTGGCTCTAAGGCAGCATGGCACATGACAGGACAGCCATTCATGGTGGGGGAAAAACAGCAAAGAGAAAAAGGAGAAGCAGCAGCTAGCAAGGCTCTCTCCCTCCCTTATATTGCATGCAGATTACCCACCCCAGGGCAGATGTAGCACTCACACCCATAATCGCCTATATTGAATCATGAA